CGATTATCATCCTCGGCCGAGGGGACGTGGGAGATTGAGTGGTCGAGGTGGTTGCGGGTCTTGGTTACAAAGTCGGAGTATTCCTCAAGGGTCTGGGCCTCCTGTGGCACAATGCCGGCCAAGGCCCCAGGGCGGGTGAATTCCAGATGGCGAAGGCCCAGAGATGCAGCGAGCTTTTGCAGCTCTTGGTGATAAGCGAAAGCGTCACTGTCGGCGATGTTCAGAATATCTCAATCAAGGTTAGCCTTACGCATCGAAGAAAAATGAAGACGAATGCTTACCGCCATATACTGATGCATCCGACACAATCACAACGGTGGCACCGCCCTCGTAGATTTCGGCAATAGAGTCGGCGAATCCATTGAGCGTCTGCAAGGCGATCTCTTCGGCCTTGTCTGGAAGAGGGCCTAGTGTCTTGCGCTTGTTTCTTCCCTCGGCTGGAGCCTTGAAGGGGAAAGCTGGAAGGATGAAACGGACAGCCTCCTTGTTGGAGACAATGTCTCCGATCTGCTTCTCGAGCGTGGGGACGAACTTGGAGAAGCGATCGGGGACGGTGGCGGAGCGGTGGCGGTATGCAGCAATGAGGAAGACAATTTGTGAGACCTTAGTCTCGATGTCGGATAGAGGCTTTCCGGCGTAAGGCATGTTGCGTTTTGAATTGATATTGATCCGATTACTACCAAGATGCTCTGGTCTGGTTTGAGTCCATCTTGTCGCGGGACAAGTGATCTAATATATCATTGTCTTGAAAGACTGGCATCCAGTATTGTCCGGATGCCAACCCTTCCGAATTGATGCCCTCCGACCATGATCTGGTGAGACTGCAAGATGGATGGAAGCAGCACGCGGATTCCGCGGATCTCTCCCCAGACGGGTTCCATGCCAGCGCGTCCACGTCCACGGACGGTGTCGATGAGAATATCTCATCATGCATCGGACTCCGGATACGATAGAGAGCCATTTATCTGATTTGTAGATCGTTCCAGTTTTGTCGAAGAAGGCTCTCTTCTTTCTTCGGCGTCTTCTTGTCCCCGGTCGGGGGACCGACGCACAGGACTGGTCTCATTCCGCTGGAGTCAGCACAGAGTCTGATTCAACGCTCTCGATGCTGTCCATGCTTTATGTATGTGCTCTTCATTCAACATATATGAATGTTGTAGCCACCATGGTATTCAAGAGGAACAGTCAAAGAGGGCCCATTTAGAAGGGGGACGCATTCCCGTCTCATGTGATCAGACACCTTCATTATCTGGGCATGTACTCATTGATCTAGAGAGATATCTGTGAAAGTATTCTAAGGATATTCCTTTCACCAGTATAACAAATGTAAATAAATCATATCAACCTCCGAGTACCAAGACGGCGATCACGGGAGTTGGACGATTCCGCGATTCCGCCCCCACTTGACGTTGGGGGCCGAGCCGAAGGGGTTTAGTACGTCGATGCAGGGGGATGTCCAACTTGCCTTCTTACATCCTACTCGACATGGATGTTGCCCACCCCCGCAAGAAGCTCACCCTCTCCTGTTCGCGATGTCGCGCCTCCAAACTAAAATGCGATCGCAAGGAGCCTTGTGTGAGTGTGCCTAAAATCTTATGGAATTGCGAACTCATTGTTTCTAGTTGGAATGCGTGAAGCGCGACTGCGCCCACCTATGTACCAAGGGTGAGCGTCAACCGAGAGCCAAGCGGACCAAAACCCAACGTACAGAACAAAATCGCAGCCAAGTGACGCCGGAGGAAGAGGAAGAACCGGAGGTCGAAGAAACGGCGCAGATCTTGGAGCATTTCGTGGATGTCATTCCTATCCCCACCGAATCAGCGGACGTGGCCCCTGACATCCCCAATCGATACTGGGTGACCCAGGATCCGCAGAGGCACGACCAAAAGTTTGCCTTGATCCGAGATGTGGTTCACGCCCTGCCAGAATGGAATATCATCCAACTCCTCTACGAGGTCTTTGTCACGCGTTGCCAGGGACCACTGGGAAATGTGGTGCACACCCCAAGCTTCATGAAGCAAGCCGATCAATTGCGTCACTGCTTAAGTATGGCTTCCCCCAACGCGGCCATCACCAGTACGCTATCTCTGGACTCTCTTGCTGGTTTGCTTCTCGCGGTGCCGCTCTCCTCCAAACCCACTGGGTCTAGCGTCGGCTGACTGTTTCCACGCAGCTCGTGCTTGGACTCGCCTTTTATCCAACCCCGTCCCTTTTGGGTGTCCAACTCACCCCGTTGACTTTCCGCGTGGAGCAACTGCGTGCCTCGGATGAGCCTGCAGCGACATGGCGGTCCCTCAGCGTGCGTTGTCTCCAGGGAGGTATTTCCCTCTTTTGTGGCTCTATCTCCAGCTTACAGGCGGCCATCATGCTTCTGTTGGATACAAAAGAGACCTCGTTGGGGCTTGATGCCGTCTTAGTTACCGCCATTTCGGGTGCGCGCAAACTTGGATTGCATCGCTTGGGCAATGCCATTTTGGATGCCTCGCCTTCCTTAGATTATGGCTCTGCGACCGCTGAACCACCTCACATTCGCACCGAGATTGCGATTCGGATTTGGTAGGCACCCCAAATACCCGTATTTTTTCACTTAGGGCGAAGCGCTAATCATTCGGGACCACTAGGTGGGCTCTTGTCATAAGAGACTGGTCGCGCGGACAAGCTCTTGGCTACTATACCATCCGCCCCTCACAATTTAATACCCGGATGCCATTGCACCTCAAAGATGACGATCTGCTCAGGGCACATGGCAAGATTCCCGAGCGCCCTCGGTCTGAATTTACCATGCTGTCCTATACGGTACACGCGTTGGAGTTGTCCAGCATTGTGCGGGAATCAATTGATCTCGGGGACGCCGCAAACGAAGCTGCCCAGCGGCGCCAGCACCTCAATCGAAAGTACGAAAAATATGTGGCAAGTTTGCCGTCTTACTTTAGATTGGGAAGCACCGTCGGACTCACAGCCATGGGTCCCATGGCCGCCATCCCAGTCCAACGATTCATGTTGCATCAACAGCTGTGGAGTCTCCTCCTCCGCCTGCATCGCTCTACTCTCTCTTCTCCCATGGGACGCGCATCCTGCCAGCAGCTGGCTCATAACATTATCAACACGCAAGCCCAGATCCAAGCCCGCTGCACAGTTTGTGGCTCACTATCCACCAACGAAACGCAACTCTTCAACGCGACCGTTGTGCTGGTCTTGGGGCTGCTGTTTGATTCTCCGTCGACCGAGGCCGAGCGCTCGAGTGCCCAACTCGGTCGCTTAATGACGCGAGACCATATTCGGGAGGCCATTGAACTGTTGCGTACCAAAATTTCGCCTGAGGGATCCTCCGGGGACGCTATACCCCAAGAGCCGCTCCAAAGCTCGGTGTCGCGCAGTGTTGTGGCCCTCGAGGCACTGATGAAGTTGGAAGAGGATTCAGGTGACGGTGTCAACCGCCATGCGGGATCAAACCAGAAGCGTCCCCTCTACCGCCAGGTGGTGGAGATTCTGAAGACCTTGAATGGTCCAACCACTCCCGCCGATTTACCCGTTCCAAGATTATCGACCCCTGGGGACACCTCTTTGACTCTCTCCATTCCTGTCGCGGACGGCTTCCCCGATCTAGATGTAATGCCCATTCTGTCCAATGGCCTGAGTCCTAATATGTGGGACTTCTTGGACTTCCAGCTACCGGAAGATGTAGGCAAAGAGAAGTTCTTGCCTATGGCCGGAGACGTTTACGGGGCAATGGGTGTTACCCACGCTTTGTATCCAAGCCAAAGCAATAGCCTCTCGGGGACGCGCTTGACCCATGAATCCCCGTCGTCTATGGGGAGTGAACCCACGTTGGACCCCGCGACGACCCCTTCGAGCGCTGACGCCTTTGCGGCTGCTAACTTTTACGAAGTCATGGGAAATGGGGGCCTTCCGCCCTGGTGAGACATTGGCTGACCGGTTGCACTTGGACTATATGCCCAGGTGTACAGTATGTGTGTGACATCATTTACCCCGACCCATCGCTGAATGATATACAGGCTACCACAACTATATATATCCTTGTATGTACATGTAGAGCGTACCACTTCCTGAAGTTTTAGAGCCTTGTCAAGGCTTGTCGTAGCCTCATTGCCATTCTCAACGTTAGGCTGCCCTTATGGCGCGATTGTGATGGGTTCTTTCTTCAAGAGCCAGAGTAGAAAAGCAAAACAAAAACAAAAAAGGACAGAACGCGAAAAGAAGCAATGAAAGATACGCAAGAGATTTGAAGGATATTCCGCAGAATGCCAGACCTCTTGGAGCCTTTTCTCTCGAATTGATTTCCGAGCCCAAATCTGAAACACGCTAATCTAGATACGGCATGGTGGTGGATCCCTCAGTTCCCAGAATAGATATTGTATTTTACATGACGCCGGTGGGACCTGGACTGGTGTATTTTACAGGAAACTGTTGTACACATGCTACCTCTGCGCCCCTCTTCCTTCCTGTCCATCCCTAGCAACATGCTTCATCACCATATATTACTCCTCAGCGTCGCCCAATGTTGGGCCTAGCAATATGGCTCCGAGACTTCCCCCGCAAAGCTGTATCTCATCCGTGATATGATAGAGATCACTCAGCACTCTAGCGCCACTGCAGCCTTCTATTGGATGTCAAACGAGTGTAGGCGAAGGCTGCGTGTGACGGAGAGGCCAAGACACTAGGGAAGTGGAAGAAGAATATTGCCCAGATTGTTGGGAGAGAGTGTAGTGGGTAAAGCTCGCGAAGCTTTCCAGATGGAGACTCTCTGTGTCATTGATTCATCCACATCCACGCTTCTTCCAATCTGTAGTTCCAAAGGCTGTTTTTTTTTCCCTTTGCTACTTGTATACAATACCCCCCTACTTAGGGTAGGCTCAATGGCCTTGCAGCACTACTTACAAGAATCTACCAATCTGATCGCAGCATAAGATAGAATCAAAACATCATTCATCAATAAATTCCTATATACATCCTCCCAAGAGGGGATTGAATACCACCCTCTAAGAGCCATCGCTAGTAGGCAAATCCACAAATGGATCATCAGCGGGATCCGAGTGCCACCGGTACTCCAGCCCGAAAGCCGTCATACGCGTAAACTTCAAAGCCTTTTCTCGGCTGTAGCCCGGGATAGGCGTCGCATCCCCGCGGAGACCGACCTTCTGCGTCTCCGGGTGGGCCTGACGATCTTCAGGCGCCACGTACGTATTCGCGATAAACGCAAATCCTGCGTCAATTCCAGCCGTCACGCCAGATGAGGTCAGGAATTTCCCATCATGGACCCAGCGGGCGCGCTTTTGCCACTTTACGCCGGGGTCTGGAGATTACGAATGTTATTAGTCTGGTTTTACGAGAACGCAAGCTGATTGCATGACAGTATTGGAAATTGACGTACGCTTGGGAGTGACTTCGTCATAAAGACGCTTGTTGGTGGTCGCCTGGCGACCGTCCAGACGGCCCGTGGCGGCGAGGAGAATTGATCCGGTACACACGGTGAAGACGTTGGGGGCCCGATCGACCAGCTGACCGATTTGCTGGAGTAGTATCGGGTCCCAGACCAGCGGCATCATGCCGAAGCCGCCTGGGATGAAGAGGGTGTCGAAGGAGTGGTCTTCGCGCAGGGCTTCGGCCAGGGAGATGGTTCCCACGATGCCCATGCCATTTTTGATGGAGGTTTCAATGCCTTGGGGTGAGGCGAAGTGGTGGAGGTTGACGAATTCCAATTTGTAGTAGTCACTCCGGGGAACAATTGCGCCAAGGGGACCGAAGAGATCGAGAGCCTCAACTTCGCTGTATACTAGCGATAATATACGGTGATGGGTGGGCATTTTGCTTTCTGATTTGTTGGACTTCGGTTAATATGAAGAAAGAGGATGGAGAGGCTAAGAGTTGAATCTCACGCCAGATGAGCCTCCAGGTACTTATAGTCCCCAGGCTGTAACGCAGGCATGCCTGACTCAGATGCGAAACTCCATGGAGTTTTGGCGGAGTTTCGACCATCCGGGGACTCGGATTCTCAAGTTCCTCAGCGTTACCCCGGTCCAGTTATCCGCGGAAGAAAATCCTACACGATACACACCAAGCTAAAGTGAACCTCCGAGCGGTTCGGTCCGATCCCTGCTCATTGTTACGTACGCCCTTTATTTATACTCTCCAATTTCCTTTTTCTCCAGACCAGATACTTTTGCTCCGTGGATTGAAAGAACTGAAAGACCAAACAAACAACTCCAAAATGCCGACCAAGTATGGATCACCTACAGTGGGCAGAGACGTCGATACCCAATGGGTCCAATGGCTCGCCAGACGCAAAACCCCAATTGCTTCACCACCATCTTCGTCGACCCCGGTGCCAATGCCATCAGCCACCCTTTATGACTCGGGTCCTCTGCACTCCCGCACTACCGGCACCAGCTACTTTGCTCTACTCTCCGCTGCCCAAGGCCAGCAGCAACCACGTCGCCAGGGCAGGCCGCAGACACCGTCTCCATCAATGGACTCCTCCTGGGGGACCTGGCTCTTCGACCGGGGGCCACGAGGATCCAAGCGGCCAACAAGTGCAGGAGTCAATCCGCAGATGCAAACCACTTCAATCGAACCGCAATTAACATCCACGGCTCCCGCATTCGCGGTCTCAAGCCTTGACCCCCTCCACTTCCCTTTGACTACCCCGCTTATGGACTCGGAGTCTATTCCCGGAGTTTCGGATGAGGCGTTGGGTGAATTTGACTTGGGCTTGGACTTGGATTTGACGGGGCAAGGTGCTGAATTGCTTACTTGGTTGGATGAAGAGTATTCATTTACGATGGAGACGCCCGTGTGTTCTGGGAAGCGCGGTCTTGATTCTCCGCGGGAATTGTCGGTCAGTAAGAAGCAGATAGTGGATTGTCGGTCGGATCTTGGTAGGGCTCCGAAAGGAATATATGGATGCGAATATAGGCCTTATTCGAATATCTAAGTCTCGTATTCGCGCGAATAAGCCCATTATTCATATTCGCATTCCATTCTATTCATTTTATTCAAATCCCGCGCATTAATAATTCTTCCGTTACTCCGGTTTGGGTATTACCGAAATACCGATTTGACCAGGGGTTTAACGTAATTTTCAGAGGGATTGTCATTACGGCCTTGCCCAAGCAGGAAAAGATCAATTACCATGCAAACTGTCTCTTTTACATGAGAAACAAGGCGGGCGTAGTAGTGTACGTCATTGGCCTCTAAGCCCGGAATATCTTTAAAGAATCAGTAAGATAGAGAGAAAGACTTGGGGGTGGCAGGGTATTAGGAAATGCACGGACCTCAAAGCCCACGTAGTGAGCTCGAAACCAATCACGTTTAATAAATGTCGAATTGGGCGAAACCTGTTCGGTATGGTAATGAGAGCTAGCATTCAGAGAGAGAGATGTGTGTATTCCGAAGGCTGTAGGGGGAGGGGGATATGTACCTATCCGTGCGCTGGGGATGCCAGAGTATTGGATGTTGCACGGGACTTGCTGATAGATAGATTGGTTGGCTCTCGGTGGCCCATCTGTGTAGTGGAGTATCAGGCCTGGTGGATGCCTGATAGGTCTATAACAGAGCAGTCTGATGTACCTAATGATGATACACCTGATCCTCTACTACCTACGGAGTATATCGGAGGGAAGAACTCAGATGCGCGCATTAGTGAGAGCCCGGAAGCGCCTAAGGCAGGATGATGATCAATGGACGTATCATTAGATGTATGTTAAGAAGTGTCACTATTTGAATTTATATATGATTGAATTATCCCATAATATATCTGCCTGTAAGAGAAAAACCAAAAAATACAGCCTAGAGATGCATAAATTATGTAGTCAAGAGTCTTCCTATGTTTGCACTGTTTGTCGACCCATATGGGGCCCTATATGCTAACCCATTTGCGGGTTGGGTCGGGATGGGTTTTGGGTTTTGCGACTCAGGGGTGTCCTGTCTTCTTTTTAGGGCGACACTACTTTCACTGGTATTGTAAGACCAGCTTCTGGGCCCGAGTGCGAGTCAGGTAAAAATAAGTCGGATGGTTTTCATATCCCGTTATCCCGCTGATTTTAGTGTGGTTGTGCGGTCGTGCCCCGCGCCAACCGTCCCGGGCCGGACCGCATAACCACGACGGATTCACTTTGGTCTCCCTAACGGGGATTAACACCGGATACCATGAGAAGGTATTAATCTATTATCCTAACAGCCTGGCGAGGACTGTTGCCCAGTGCGAGCTTACTGGGGGCAGACTGACCCTACAGTCATTCTCGAAATCGGCTTGACCAAAAAACACTTAATTACTATTTTCTGGACCCACCTCCAAGGCCTTAGCGCAGATCAAATAATGAGCGGGCCGTATTAACTTGAGATCTAATAAGATGTAAGATAGGGATATGGCCCCCCTAGGCCTTAAATAGGAACCTTGGTTTTTGTTATAGTCTAGTGGTAAAATAGCCGTATTTTTTCCTACAAAATACCGTAATATGCGGCTGAGTGTGCTAAGATTACCCGACAATAGCACTGGCTTTGAAATCTGGGTCGGGATAAATAGGAATAAACAGGCAATAAATTAATGGCTGGGAGGGTGGGGTGGGGTGGTAGATTCGACAAAATGAATAATTTACTTAACCTAGGTTTGAAGTAAACAAGCGTTTGTCTTTTCATCTTTTATATACCAAATGCTCTAAGCGGGATTTTTACGCTTAAACAGATCCCAAAAATTGAAGCTTTTTCTTGGGGGATGGCCGGGAGGCTGACTGTATATAGGCTGCACCAACCCACTTGCTGCGCGTCATGCGGGCCTTTATGGGCTCCGCTTTTTCGTGCGTTGTTCGTGCTTTTGAGACGATATAGGATTTTATGTGTCTCAGACGACACTAGGACACTAAAACATCATTGGCTTATACCTGCCTTTTGGCCCCTGATGGACATGAAAAGACTTTCCATTCGGCTCCGCCGAGGTGACTTCAATGTAACTTCAATGTAACTATTTTCATTCGCTAAAATCTTCTGATTTCGTCAAACCCATCTTACAACTGTCGCTGTTGTTCTGTATATAATCCAATATTCCTACAGTATTGAAAACAATTCGACGAATGCTGCGGTACAAAAGTCCGGTGAATTGTTGGGTGTCGAGTTCTCTTCCAAATCATACGTACTTCTAAGCAGTCCCTAGAGTACCCTCCTTGTCTCTGGATCAAATGGAATGTCACCCAGTTTCAATATGACTACCCAGCCGCATACCCCAAATCCTCCGCCGGATCGACCAAAGAAGGGCAAGGACAAGAAGATCTTCAGCTGCCACTCGTGCCGACGGCGGAAGCTCAAGTGCGACCGGTTTGATCCATGTGGAGCCTGTCAGGTGCGTGGGGAGGGAGATCGGTGTGCGTGGGAGGAAGGGCAGAGACCGGAGTATGTGCTTGCCCTTGATATTCTCACCGTCCCAATGAACAATGTATCCTGATGGAAACACAGGCGACATCATTGTGAAAGCCTCGAGAATCTCCCCAAAATGATTTCAAATTTGGGGAAAGAAGTACAAGAGCTCAAATTGCTCAACGCGAGCCTCATGGAGAAGCTTCACGGCAAAGGTGGAGATGGCGTGGCGGAGACGCTTGCCCTAATGACTCCCGATGTTCGGCCTCCTTCGAATGGAGGAATATCCTGCGACTCCAATAGTCGGTGGGGACTACAGCTATCAGATATCCACCAGTGGACATCATATCAATTGATGGCCTTGCTCCCTGCAAGCCCTCTCCTCTGGGGTTTAGTTTCGCATTATGTGAGTCTCCCCGATGAGTCTCTCCAGGAAAAGATTGTCTTCTGATAGGAATAGATCTTTTCCTCTGCCTCACTCACGGGATTTATTGATATTCATCAAATCATTGGTGATGTCGAAGAAGTCGAGCATCTCCGTCAGGGCTCTGACATGTGCCAAGCTCCTAAAACCCTCGAAGTCAAATTGTCCCGAATCCTCGCGTGCGCCAGTCTCGCTGCCGTGGACTTGGATCCAGGCAAGGCACAAGAGCTGGGAATTGAAGTATCTGAAATCGACGCTCTGGTTCGCGACTTATATCGAAAGGCACGGATGCTCATTACACCAGCCGATGGGGATACAGTCCCTACTACATCATCATCAAATACAACAACATCCACACTTGCACGCAACGCCATCCACAATAGCCTCGACGAACCTTCAAACAACGGGGGCATGTCGCACACACCACCTCCAACCCGCTATGATCCAACCCTGCTCGGGGTGGTATCCATCAAGATTCTCCTTCTTCTCACAGCACGATCTTTTGCGACACCCTCTGAGTACCTCAAACTCCACCTAGACGCCATCTCATCGGCAGTAGATGCGTCTCTAGACTCCGCCGGCAGTGCAGGGATGTCACCCGCCAAGAATGAATGGTGTTGGCAGCTGTGGTCCACGCTCTGCGTAATGGACTGGACATCCCCGGGCATATATCACCACGGTAGCTACTTTATTCGCCCAGAGATGCTCCGAGATCCACCCTCACCGTCACCAGTGACTGATGACGACCACGGAACGACTCTAGACCGCCTCCGACAGACGCGCCACTATCTCGAGTACGCACTGGCACTCGCGCATCTGGCACGACGCGCTGAGGACTGCATCCTACGACCAGGACCCGTTCCTCCGTCCCAGGCAGCCGACCTCTGCGCCGAGCTAGATACCTTAGACCACAATCTGAGTTTCTACCAGCTACTTGGAAGCGCAGGATCGCGCTCTGAAGGACGGGATTCCCCTTCGTCCGGAAGAAGCACATGGCCAGGCGGAGAAGGCAGCGAGCATCTGGCTCGTCGCACCCCGCAGGTACAGAAAATGCATCTCAGCCTCGAACTCGGACTTATCCGCTTCAAGCTCTTCCGACACGAGACCTTTCACCTCCTGCATGAGGCCTCGACCGCAGCCCCACTGCGGCTGATGTGCCTGGATGCCTGCATGGACGCCTGCATCCTCGTTCTGGCCCAGTGTCGCCGCCTTGGCAACGGTGATGGAATCGTGGATCAGGTTCCGGATATCTTCGAGGTAGCGAAACGACCCTGCACGGGGAGTCTGCGCCGCGTCTTGCAGCCTGCATCGGCAGCGGCCTTGATTGGACAGGTGCTGCTGCATGAATCTCAGTCTGCTGATGGGATGGGGATACTGGCGCGAGCGGATCATCCTCCGCCTCCCGGACGGGAATTTTTTGCTTTTGCAGGTGGCGCTGAGAATAACTGGGCTAGTATTGCTAGGCTGAGTGGGGAGAAGGTCGGTGTCTTGCAGTGGCATGTTAATACGGTGTTGTCGTTGCTGGAGGCCATGCAGGGGACTTCTTCATTAGCGCGGTCTAAGTTGAGTTTACATATGCAGTGTATGTAAAAAGATTTGTTGCTTTTTATTTTTATTTTGTTAAACATAGCTATGAGGTTATGTCAATATTCACCCAAGTCAATAGTCAATAGCAAAAACAATTTAGATTTCATGTACACAGATCATCAGAAACAAAACAGAAAGAAGACAAGAAAACAACATATATTAAGACGGAGAGAGATGAATGGAGGCGGGTAAAACTCGTAACAGGCAGCCAAAAGAATACAATAATAGATAAACCGTGTCGAAGTCTTTAATTCTATTCTAAACCTGCACCGAAAGCGTTTCCATCACAGGCACTTCCGCAATCTTCTCCTTGGTCACCTCCTGACCTCTTCGTGCGGCGGGCTTCGCATCGGAGGCGCGCACCAACGCCTTGACCTCATCGACCTCGAGAGGCGGGTTCCAAGTGATAGCAGCATCCTCCTCGGAACGAGTCTCACCACAAGCATAGCAGCGGCGCCAGTCCGGGCGACAGTGGAGCCAGGTACCGCACTCCCGGCACTGGCGCGAGAAGGTATCCTTGAAAGGCTGATCAGGGTGGTAGTTGAGGTAGATATCGTAGTAGCGAAGCAGACCGT